CCATGGAAGCACCTCTGACTCACAGTGGGTTTCTAATGATCACTATTTACAGGAACAGACAGCCTAGTCTTTCTGAACAGAGTGGCCAGAGAAGCAGCTCAATGTGTAACAGACTCTGCCACTTGGGTTCCCCAAGATTCAGAGAACATTTAAAAGAGACTCAGTTTGAGTCACTGAAGCATGCCAAAATCAAGAACGCACAATTCTTTCATCCCATTACCACTGAGTCAATTCCCACTCTCAGAGACTCAAAGCCCAGGGTAGAACCGCCTCTGTGGGTTTCGCAGACTGTAATTCTTTACAGGGGTAGAAACCTCACTTTTTCCACCAGCCACTCAGAGGGACAAAGAGGAGGCTTTCTAATTCCTAGTTTGTAACTAGGAAACCACCAGAGACAGTTCTATCCTGTCATACAAGGTCTCTATGAGTGCCATCTACTTGATGGCTGCTGACAGTGAGATCTGTAAAATTTACAAGAGTAGGACCTGTTGTTCTTTTTCCTCCAGAGGAGCTGCTGGTGCATTTGAAAGCCTAATCTTGCCATTAGCACTGGATAGTGCCACCACAGCATCTTTACACATGCAAAGGCCCATCAAAAGGAGAACTCAAGTACTAGCTTTAAAGTCCTGCTGCTCAAAAGTGTGTTTCCAGGAGCTTGTGAGACATGTACTCTCAGGACCCAGCCACAGTTCCTGAATTAAATTCTGCTTTTTAACAGTATCTAGGTGATTCCTACCTATATTAAAGTTGGAAAAACACTGTATTATCCTTAGGTAAATTGATTCATATAATTTCAGTTTGCAAGTAAATTATTGTGATACAGCGGTATTAACATTCAAATTTTAAAATATTATTCAAGACATATGAGCAGTTGCATTTTTTTGATAGAGGAAAGGAAAGCACTGATAGTTTACTACGTGATTGAAATTGTTAGATGTTTCCACTTTAATTCATCCTTTTGATCCTCATATCTCTGTGACTCCATGTGAAAACAAGACCCGGAGAAATATCTATTCTAAACAATAGACATTGAATGCTAAATTCCTGACTTTGTCCTGGGAATAAAATAAGCGCCCCTACTGAGTGGGCAGCATATTGTAAGTTAGCAAATTCGAAAGAAATAGAGCTTAAGAGATTCTTAGAGGGAAAATGTACCCTTGGAGCAGTGAAGTTGGAAAAAACTTGTACTGCTAAAGTTCATTTCTATTGATTTTCGAGCAACACGTTTTTATCAACGTGGCTCTGCAAAACAGGCAAGTTGGTTTAGCAATGTAATAGGGGGAACCAGGGAGCCCTGGAGCCTGGAACAAAGCAAGAATCCTGCAGAACTTTGTGGAGCAATGTGGGATGTTGGCCCTCATCCAAGACGCAGGAGGCCTCCACAGGGGTTTACAGGAAGACAGTGATAGGTCCTGAGCCACATTGGAGACGTGCTCCTCGGTCAGCCCCGCGTCCGGCCCTGCGGGCGGGTGGGTTTTGCCGGGGCCACTCCCCTAAGCTTCCTTTTCCCCACCAGCCCCCGCCTCCGGGTTCCCTGCTCAACGCTTGCGGCGGGGGAAGGGCGCCCTGTGCAGGGGTCGCAGGGAAGGAAAACGTCTTGGAAACATTTTTTCAAAGCAAACAGTGCACTTGGCCCCCAGCGCGCGGGAAGTTCAGCGCACGAGTTCCGGTTGCCTGCCCAGCCGGCCGCAACGTGGGTGAGCCCCTAGCCCCCCGCCAGGCCCGCGCCCCGGACCCCGGCCGAGCTGCCCGCTCCCGCTCGGCACCGCCCGCACCTCGGAGGGGCGCCCGGAATTGCGGGGTCTCGCTAACTTTTCTTCGCTGCAGCGGCGCGCGCGGGACGCGAGCCCCGGCCTTTGGGGGCCCGAGCGCTCCGTCCGGGCCCCGCGCGGCTGCCCACCCCCCCTCCACGCTCTTTCTCCGGCAGCTGTAACTTGAAACCAGCCGCACAGGCCTGGTGGCATTCACAACTAGCGACAACTAGCGACCTGGGCGCCCGGGGAGACAGCCCTGATTGGGGGAGGGAGGTGGCCCCTGGAAGACGGCGCCAAAGTTGGCGAGTTCCGAACTTCTTTTCGCTGAGCGTTTCCTTGAGCATTCCGAGTTCCATTGACAACTTCCAGGGAGGGCTGGCTTGGTCGCCGTCGCGCATTTGCTGAGCCACCCCAGCTGTGCCTGCGCTCCGTCGCTCCGTCTGCACACTGTGACCTGGAGCCCACCGCCCCTGGGCCTGTCCCGAGCTCGGGCCTGGCTGAGTTCCCGCAGGAGTCGCTCCAAGAATTCCTGGGACACGTTTGAGCTAGTGCAAGCCAGGGAGATGAATGTGTCAGCCAAGTACCGCATGGCCTCGCTGTATGTGGGTGACCTACATGCCGATGTCACCGAGGACCTGCTGTTCAGGAAGTTCAGCACCGTGGGGCCTGTGCTATCCATCCGCATTTGCAGAGACCTGGTCACCCGCCGCTCCTTGGGCTACGCCTATGTGAACTTCCTGCTGTTGGCGGATGCTCAGAAAGCCCTGGACACCATGAACTTTGATGAGATTAAAGGCAAATCCATCCGTCTCATGTGGTCCCAACGTGATGCCTACTTAAGGAAATCTGGAATTGGGAACATCTTCATCAAGAATCTGGATAAATCCATTGATAACAAAGCCCTTTATGAACTGTTTTCACCTTTTGGGAAGATTCTGTCGTCCAAGGTGATGACAGATGATCAAGGCTCCAAAGGTTACGCTTTTGTACACTTTCAGAACCAGATCGCTGCAGACAGGGCCATTGAGGAGATGAATGGGGTATTGCTCAGGAGTTGCAGATTGTCTGTTAGCAGGTTCAAGACCCGCAAAGATCGAGAAGCCGAGCTCAGAAACAAAAGCAATGAGTTCACCAATGTTTACATTAAAAACTTTGGGGTTTGCATGGACGAGAAGAGACTGAAGGACATTTTCAGCCAATATGGTACAACTCTGAGTGTTAAGGTGATGACTGATTCCTGTGGAAAATCCAAAGGTTTCGGCTTTGTGAGTTTTGATAGCCACGAGTCTGCCAAAAAGGCGGTGGAAGAAATGAATGGAAAGGAACTAAACGGGCAGCTGATCTTTGTAAGCCGAGCGCAAAAGAAAATTGAGCGACAAGCTGAGTTAAAGCAAATGTTTCAACAGATAAGACAAGAAAGAATTCACTGGAGCCAGGGCGTGAAGCTCTATATTAAGAACCTTGATGACACCATTGATGATGAAAAACTACGGAAGGAATTTTCTTCATTTGGATCAGTTAGCAGAGTTAAGGTGATGCGGGAAGACGGTAGAAGTAAAGGGTTTGGGTTGATCTGCTTTTCCTCCCTCCAGGAGGCTACCACAGCGATGGCTGAGATGAATGGCCGCTTCTTGGGGACCAAGCCCCTCAACATTGCCCTGGCACAGAGGCAAGAAGAAAGGAAACCATGCTTCACCAGCCAATATTTGCTGTAGGTGGGCAAATAATGTCATTCCTGCCTAAAGTGCCCAAATTAAATTTCTGACCCAGTTGGGTGGCCCCTTAATTAGTAAACTTTGTGATAAAAGGGGTGTGTTTGCAGTGTGTGTGTGTGTTTTAAAATAAGGGAATCTTAGAAGCTTAGTTCTAATTATGCTATTATCCTTTTTCTTTTATACTTTTTATACTTTCAATGAAGTATTCATAGCAATAAGTATAATTCTAACAACCATGGAGTCCATGCCAACTTATCCTTATAAATATAATTAGATATACTTTTATTGCCTTTTGAACTAATTGAAGTGAACTAATTTGAGTGTATCACTTATTTTCTTTCTTATTCTAATAATATCGCCAACTTTAACATCTTCTATGAATAGATTATCAAAATAATTCTTCTGTCTCAGGATCCCAAGCAAATTGATAATTACAAAAATACATTTTCCAATTTTCATTTACGTTTTTAAGTTTTTATTCAGAGAAAACAAAAGTTTGAAAACCAAATGTACAAATTGAGTTAAATATCTAATTACATTCTTAATATGCACAATATGAGAAAAGATTGTTTTTCATTGACGGCTGGGGGTCAGATGAGATTTTTTTAAAATACTGCCTACAGGCCTGCTGCATAGGATTTTGTCCCATTGATTTCCAATAATTCAGGTATTTGATAGTTATCTAAATTTTGGCTTGATTCTTTCATCCGTTAAATTTTAAGCCTATATCAATTCATTCAGGTGCTCAAAAGATGGCTTAAACTTACATATCTTCATCTATAAATGCCTTAAGTTTATAGCAGATGCCAATGTTATGAAAATCAGGTTTAGAACATATTATGCCTAGCTAACAGCTTTATTTTCATGTCAATTTTATATTGCTCTACTGATAATTTCTCAGGGGTTGGAGAAGAATAAAAGTTTCCTTATTTTTATGAACTTTAGAATATTAGAAACATGAGGATATATAAACTTAAAGTTCACTTTTTACCTTGATTGAAGCTCATTCAGTGTATTTTCTGATAAATGACAATGATGCCTTATACTGTTTTCTAAATATTACAAATCTTACTTCAGTTTAATTTCCAGACCTCTCCATCCTTCTTGTTTTTCAGAAAGATTACTCAGTTCATTTATATGCTTGCTTTAAGGATTTTTTTGTATTTGTCTATGATATATGCCATTTCAAATCCATTTGGAAATCGAATAATAAGTAATTTATTTCATTTAAATAATTGCTTTAAAATTCTGACTCATTGATGCCAAAGTGTCTAGGAAATGTATTTTATTATTTGTTTTTGTTTTTTTCTCATTGCTTTTGTTTTTTTCCTTTTATTTCATGCATTAAACCAAAAACCAAATCAAGCCCACTGCCAACAATTTAACTATGACTCACAGCAAGGACTCAGGAGACAAAATTAAAACTCTTATCTATGGCAATAGATTTTATTAAAGAATGAGAAAAATCTATTTCCATTTTTAAGTGTATCTTCATAGCTTCAAAATCAGATGCTCTTTTCAAAAATAAAAGTGTCGTGAGGAAATGAGTAAGAATTGTGTATGATTCTCTTACGCAGGCTTGTTATTAGGGACCATGGAGTAGTTTCCGACTCACAGAGACCCTCTGTGCAACAGAATGAAACACTGCCTGGTCCGGCACCATCCTCACAACTATTGTGATATTTGAACCCATTATTGCCGTCATTGTGTCAGTCTATCTTGTTGAGGGGCTTGCTCTTTTTCCCTACTCTTCCACTTGACCGAGCATGATATCCTTTTCCAGTGATTGGTTTCTCCTTATATTATGTCCAAAGTACTTAAGACTAAGTCTCACCGTCCTAGCTTCTCAGGAACATTATGGCTGTACTTCTTCCAAGATGCATTTTTTTGTTCTTTTGGCAGCCCGAGTACTTTCACCAACACCGTCATTCTTATGCAGGCAGATCTTAAAATAGGTTTCATTCCCTCCTGGCTTTTGTTGTTCTTATTTTCTGTATACATATACACACAGATAATTTAGCAGAAATAGAATCATATTGTAAATCTTTAAAATTTTCTTAATATGCCAGTACCTTACAGTCAACTATGTTCACAAAATTTTATAATTTTAATGACTTATGTTTTCTGCAATAATGGTAGCACAATGTAACTAACTTTGAATTGATAAACATACAGATACTAATTTGTTCCGCCTTTTAAATTTTTTTATATTGAACAATTTGGGGATGAACGTATTTGCAAACTCATGTGTGCTGATTTATCCAATCATTTACTAAAGAAATTGTTATAGGTGAAATGAATAGTTAAAGGAAAATTATTTTTTTTAAAACAGTGATTAGTATTACACAAATACTGTCTAGAAAATTTGTACCACTCCCATTTCCATTGTCAATATAAAGTAATGCCATTTTCATATACTCCAAAGAGCATGAAGTTTTGTCTTTCTGTTTAAGCAGGTCATTTTAATTTGTTCTGTACGTTATAATATTTTATTATTGTTTTATCTCAATTGTTTTTTATACTTACAGATATTAAACTTGATTTCTTATACCTAGTGGTTATTTAAATGTTCACATTTTTTAGTTAAGGTTTCATAATCTTGGTCTAGTGTTATTTTAGACATAAATGAGTATGAGATATTTCTTTATGTATTAAAATAAAAGTTTAGATCTGTTTTCCCTTCCCAATATTCTCTTTGTTTATATTTTGAAAATCACCTCAATGTTTAAAATTTTTATACTCAAAATTTTAACTCTTATAAGATTTTGATATCCTGATTCCAAATACATTTAAACCATTTATATGTACAATTCAAAAGTATTTTCTTCTATATTAAGAATATCAAAATCTCAATATGTTAAACACAACTTTTGTATATAGATTATCTAGAGCCAATAGTACATTTTTTAAAATGTCATGCTTTTCACTTTTTAGTAACATAAAGAGTTTTGGTGAATACTGAGTTATCATAAGAATTCATGTCTAACTCATATGGCAACTATTAATTTATTGGCTCTCTGATTCACTATGTTGACAAATACTGATCTCAACAACCAAGTTTTAAAAGGGCCCCTGGCAACAGAATTGGTAAGTGGTAGTAGGTGTATCATGGTTTGGCAGTGCATTCTGAATAACCCAATTTACCCAAATGTTCGATTATTATGATACATAGATTACAAAGACAATGAGGAATTAGTTTTCTTGAATAAGCAGGAATTGGCATGATATCAGATGCCTGAATTACTTGGTGGTGCATATGGTTAAGTGTTTCCTGTCTAGATCCATTGTGACTGATAGTTTAATGAAGCACCGTAATCACTATTATTTGCAGAAGTAGCTTATTTTTAACATTTATGGTAGTGAATCATCTTATGAAAATAGTTGGTCTGTGTGGATATCATTGATTAATTCATTTGAATTTTGCTTATCCAACATCTTTGAAGCCATTCTAAGTGGCAATTGAATGACCTAGAGAACCAATTGAGGGTCGATTTCTTTAAGAGTTTGAAATGTTTCATGCCTTAGCGTCTTGAAAAATAAATAAAATTTTCACATTTCTGATATGCATTCCAGTAAAACTACACAGAGCCACATTAATTCATGGGGTGTGCAGTTAGCCCAACCCACACACATTGAAAAATCTGTTGTACGGTTGCTTGCTTACCTGTAAAGCCAGTTAAATATATATGTGCCTGTTAACATTTTCTATATTAATTTTTAAATGGTGACTTGTATTTTGAATAAAATAAAATCTTTCATAAGTTGTTCTATCTATATACTTAAATAAGCCATTGAGAAAAGATCAAATAAAGTCTAATCTGGGGAACATGCATCTGAAAATTATTTTTATGTTATTTTTTAAACAATGTAATACTTTTTAAAAGTCAAAGTTTCTAAGAAATAATTGTTGAGCAACTTGGATCTTTACATTAAGATACTCATCATTCTTGTTTTAAAAGCAAACTCCCATATTTAATATGGTGTCTTGTTTTAAGTGACTCACATTTACGGAACCATGAGTAACTAGAAAACATGAATATGAATCAGGTTTCAGTGAAGGGTAATTCACTATTTTCTTGATTTAATTAAAGTATAATTCTGCATTTAATTTTTAAATAATGATATCTGAATTATAGTTCTGAATTGCTGCTTACATAGAAATTCTAGATTAAATGAAAGTAATTCAGCTAGATTACTGAAGGTTTAGCATTTGCATTTTATATTATAAAAAATGCATCATGTGATATTAAGTAGATCATGTGTTGTTAGGTGTGATTGAGTCAGTTTTGACTCATAATAGCCCTATTACAAAGTGTATACTAGAACAATACACTCCCCGATCTTACACTCTCCTCACAATGGTTGTCATATATCTGGAAAAGATAAATTTGTAATCAATATTATTAAAAGTAGAACAAATTAAATATTCTCAGATGGTTTCAGGTTGTTTTTGTTGTTGTTGATTATATTTAATAGAAAACTCGCCTGGAGAAAGACATTTCAGTGACAAGTTGCTGGAATTCCTGTCATCATGCTCAGACGTCACTTTCACAGGTTGACACCTTTCCTCGAAGTTCTTTAACAGCGCTCTTCACCACCCGCAGTTCTCATTGTCTCATCTTCGAGCTTCATGTCCCAAATTGTCTTCTAGAATGGGGGAAGGGGCTGGCTTTCCACTTTCTATTCAGGATGAAGTTCTGATAGGGATAAAACGAAATGGATGTAAGTATACACATTCAATTTGACACTGTGTACTATCCAGTCAATCCTGACTCATAATGATCCTGTAGATTTAACAATAGTTGCACTATATTTTCATAGGCTGTAATCTTAACAGGAAGGAGACATGGTGATACCATGGGTTAAGTGCTTGGCTAAGGTGTAAATTTACCAATCACGGAGAAGAAAAATGAGGCAGTCTTTCCTCTCCGCTCCCACTACCATGACTCGAATTCGACCTTGCAAGTCTGGCTAGACCAGAGGATGTACACTGGAACAGATAGGAACTGAAAATACAGGGAATCCAGGGAGGATGAGCCCTACAGGACCAGTGGTGTGAGTGGCGAAACAGAGAGGGTAGAGGAAGAATGGGTAGGAAAGAGGGAACCGATTACAAGGAACTATATGTGACCTCCTCCCTGGGGGATGGACAACAAAAAATGTGGGTGAAGGGAGACATCGGACAGGGCAAGATATGACAAAATACCAATTTATAAACTATCAAGGGCTCATGAGGGTGGAGGGAGTGGGCAGGGAGGGGAAAAATGAGGACCTAATGCTGGAGGCTTAAGTGGAGAGGAAATGTTTTGAGAATGATGAGGGCAATGAATGTACAAATGCGCTTTACACAATTGATGTGTGTATGGATTGTGATAAGAGTTGTATGAGCCCCTAATAAAATGATTTAAAAAAAAATATTTACAGCCATGGAAACCCTATGGAACAGTTTACTCTCTCTCCTAGGGTAGCTTTGAGTTGGAATAGATTCAGTGGTAGTAGGCTTACCTTTACTGAAGCAGATCACCAAGTTTGTTCTCCCACATAGCTGCTGATTAGTTTAGACCACTACCTTTTTAATCAGATTGCTTGGCCGTTGAGATGCCAGCACTCAATAAATATTCAATATTGCCCCTAAATCCTGCATAAAGACTCATGATGATAAAACAGTTACGTGCTCCACTGCTATCCAAAACCTGGCTGTTCAAACTGGGAGAAAAGTTTAGCAATCTGCTCCCATAAAGATTATAACTAGAAAACCCCACATGAGAGTTCTACTCTATCACGTGGGTTCTATGAGTCGAAAATAATTTGAAGACATCAAACAATAACAAAACCCCACTAAAACCTGAAAATATAAAATAAAAACTGAATACTTGGTGTGTTTTGAAGTACCTATTCAATATGTTCCTTTTGACTCACTTCCTTATAGTTGTCAAAAATCCCATTTTATTCCATAAGAATCTTCAATATTTAACTCAAAGTGATCCTTGAGTCTAACATGTTACATTAGACTAAGGAAAAATTATACAAATGTACTTGCTAATGTTCTCTATAACTTTTATGTTTTCATGAAATTTGGATTGTTTCACAATATTTTATTCCTGTAGATACTTAAGTATAAGCTGCCCTGAATATAAGTCTAGGCACCTGATTTTGCCCCCCAAAATTGGGAAAAC